CAAAAGGAAGTATCAGTGAATAGGAAAGATAAAAAAACGTAAGAGAAAATATATGCAGTGAAAAAAAGGGAAATATTTCAAAGAAACGTCTAAATGAACAGGAACAAAGGAAAGTATCATTGAAAGTGAAAGAAAAAAACACAACAGAATGTGAAAAATTATCCAGAGAAAGAACTAAAGAAAGCATAGAAGTAAAGGAAAGGAAGTAAAAGAAAGAAAAGAAAGAACGGAAATAAAAGAAAGGAAGGATATAAAAGAAAGAAAGAAAGAAAGACAGAAAGGAAGAAAGAAAGGAGAAAGAAAGAAGAAAGAAGGACGAAAGGAAAATACATAGCTAAAAAATGAAATTTGTAAAATTGCGAAAGAAAAAAACGTAAAATGGATGAATAAAACAAAATGACTGTTAAATAATATGAAGAAAAAAAATGAACGAGAAATATGGCGTCACTAATGCCAAATCAATACCAATCAATTTCAACCTTCCCTTTTCATCTTCGATCGAATCTCTCTGCGGGGATGCAAATTACACTTAAAATAAATACAAAATAAAATATAATAAACCCATGAGAATCTCCTGGCGTTAACAGCTTCCAGAAATTTCTAAAATTCTTCACGGATAATCAGTATATTTTTAATGGAAGCAGGAAAACGATAGCAGACGACAGAGAAAATTGCACGTTGGCTATGAACTCGGATTACAAATGTTTATGCTATTTTTAGGCATTTATTTTTTTCCCCAAAAAATGTTACTTAATTTTTTCTTCATTAATTTAATTCCTTCCTTTCTAGCGAAACCAATTCCTTATCCTTGTAAATCCAAAGTGTAAAAGATGCAAATTTAAATATCACTATTTCTGTATCATGTTGTTGACTTAACAATCGGAGAATATCAACCTAGGAATTGTTATAAAAAGCAAGAGAAATACTATGAAAATAAGATGAGGCAAGAATTAATATAAGAATAACCATTTTCCATTAAAAAAATAAACAACTTATCTACCTATAACCGCTTTCTCACAGACGAAACATCGCAAGCCTCTCGTTGCTCGATCGCTATTTCATTCATTTATTTTTTACGGCTTATCAACCCTTTGCAGGTTATTTAAAGCCAGAAAATATTTTTAGATTGTAAGAATTTTGGGGGAGATAATAATGGTTTAGTGGTATAAGTCTTACGAATGGGGTGGGGAGAAGAGGTGGATTCATACCTTTACAAAGGGTATTTGCACGTAAAGGAATATAACGGACCCGATTGGAATTGAAACTCGGCTCGACGATTACCAATTCCGAGCCATTATTCATTACACCTCCCGCAAGTTTACAGCACCGAGTATTCCCAAGCGGCCACCCATCTGGGGTACTGACCAGGCTCGACGTTGCTTAACTTCGATGATCATAAGAGAACCGATGTTTCAACGTGAAGTAGCCGTAAGCCAGTCGCTATTTCCATAGAAATTGTCCAGACGAATTACATTCCTTAATTCCATCAGTTCTTACCTTCACGGTTAAAAGTCACCAATTCCCCCCCCATTCTTTTCGTATTCCATTGTTGTTCTCACGAACCGCTTCTTTGTGGAACCAACTCCCAAGAGGATGCTTCCCCGATTACTACAATTTTAACCTGGTCAAGTTTAGGGTTAACCATTATCTTCCCCACATATCCACATAAACAGTGTCTCTTACTCTGTAACCGTCTACCTGCTTCGTAGAAACGACTCCCAAGAGGATACTTCCCTGATCACAACAATCCTAATCTGTTCAAGTCTAGGGATAACCGTTATCTTCCTAACATAACCGCATAGGCTTTGCCTCTTACTCTGTAACCCTCTACCTGTTTTGTGGAAACGACTCCCAAGAGGATGCTTTTCCCATCACTACAATCTTAACCTGTTCAAGTCTAGGGTCAACCGTTATCTTCCCCACATATCCGCATAAACTCTTCCTCTTAATCTGTAAACCTCTACCTCGAGTAGCTCTTGTGCCTTGTACAGTGTGAACATCATTGTAAAAACATCTTAAGACTATTCATTCAGTCATGTGCCATGCGCGATATACGCTTAGGCGATCACGTATCTTTCGACACATGACTGGTAGGTTGTCATTTCTTTCTGGGGTAGACCAGTTGCCATCCAAGGCTATAGTACCTGCTATTTAGCCATAGCTGGGGTGGAGAGAAGAAGAGAATTCATACCTTTTCCAACGGCATTAGTACATGACTGACGAGGCAGATTTTTCCCGCAGTAGGTTGTCTTTCTGGGGTAGACGAGTTGCCATCCTAGGATATAGTACCTGCTATTTACCCATAGCTTGGGGGAAAAGAAGAGGATTAATACCTTTCCCAAGGGTATAAGTACATGACTGACGAAGCAGATGTTTTCCCGCGCCATTTGCCATTTCTTTCTGCAGTAGCGGGGAGAAGGGGAGAAAGAATGTAAGGATTCACTGGAATTCCTTTCGGCTCTCTGATTCCTCAATCCGAGGGCTATCCATTAGCCAGGTCCTTTTTTATTATAAATTATAATAAATTGTTTTGTTTGTGTTAATAAATAAATCAAGAAGAAGAAGAGGATTCATACCTTTCGCAAAGGGTATTAGCACGTAAGTGAATGTAATGGATTCGACTGGAATTCGAACTCGGCTCTCTGATTCCTCAATCCGAGCGGCTATCCATTACTCCACAGTGCCTCCTTTTTATTATAAATTATAATAAATTGTTTTGTTTGTGTTAATAAATAAATCAAGAGAGAAGAAGAGGATTCATACCTTTCGCAAGGGTATTAGCACGTAAGTGAATGTAATGGATTCGACTGGAATTGAACTCGGCTCTCTGATTCCTCAATCCGAGCGGCTATCCATTACTCCACAGTGCCTCCTTTTTTATTATAAATTATAATAAATTGTTTTGTTTGTGTTAATAAATAAATCAAGGGGAGAAGAAGAGGATTCATACCTTTCCCAAGGGTATTAGCACGTAAGTGAATGTAATGGATTCGACTGGAATTCGAACTCGGCTCTCTGATTCCTCAATCCGAGCGGCTATCCATTACTCCACAGTGCCTCCTTTTTTATTATAAATTATAATAAATTGTTTTGTTTGTGTTAATAAATAAATCAAGGAGAAGAAGAGGATTCATACCTTTCCCAAGGGTATTAGCACGTAAGTGAATGTAATGGATTCGACTGGAATTCGAACTCGGCTCTCTGATTCCTCAATCCGAGCGGCTATCCATTACTCCACAGTGCCTCCTTTTTATTATAAATTATAATAAATTGTTTTGTTTGTGTTAATAAATAAATCAGGGGAGAAGAAGAGGATTCATACCTTTCCCAAGGGTATATTAGCACGTAAGTGAATGTAATGGATTCGACTGGAATTCGAACTCGGCTCTCTGATTCCTCAATCCGAGCGGCTATCCATTACTCCACAGTGCCTCCTTTTTATTATAAATTATAATAAATTGTTTTGTTTGTGTTAATAAATAAATCAGGGGAGAAGAAGAGGATTCATACCTTTCCCAAGGGTATTAGCACGTAAGTGAATGTAATGGATTCGACTGGAATTCGAACTCGTCTCTCTGATTCCTCAATCCGATTACGGCTATCCATTACTCCACAGTGCCTCCTTTTATTATTATAAATTATAATAAATTGTTTTCCGTTTGTGTTAATAAATAAATCAAGAGAGAAGAAGAGGATTCATACCTTTCCCAAGGGTATTAGCACGTAAGTGAATGTAATGGATTCGACTGGAATTCGAACTCGGCTCTCTGATTCCTCAATCCGAGCGGCTATCCATTACTCCACAGTGCCTCCTTTTTATTATAAATTATAATAAATTGTTTTGTTTGTGTTAATAAATAAATCAGGAGAGAAGAAGATGATTCATACCTTTCCCAAGGGTATTAGCACATAAGTAATGTAATGGGTTCGACTGGAATTCGAACTCGGCTCTCTGATTCCTCAATCCGAGCGGCTATCCATTACTCCACAGTGCCTCCTTTTATTATAAATTATAATAAATTGTTTTGTTTGTGTTAATAAATAAATCAGGAGAGAAGAAGATGATTCATACCTTTCCCAAGGGTATTAGCACATAAGTGAATTAGTAATGGATTTCGACTGGAATTCGAACTCGGCTCTCTGATTCCTCAATCCGAGCGGCTATCCATTACTCCACAGTGCCTCCTTTTTATTATAAATTATAATAAATTGTTTTTTGTTTGTGTTAATAAATAAATCAGGAGAGAAGAAGATGATTCATACCTTTCCCAAGGGTATTAGCACATAAGTGAATGTAATGGGTTCGACTGGAATTCGAACACGGCTCTCTGATTCCTCAATCCGAGCGGCTAGCCATTACTCCACAGTGCCTCCTTTTTATTATAAATTATAATAAATTGTTTTGTTTGTGTTAATAAATAAATCAGGAGAGAAGAAGATGATTCATACCTTTCCCAAGGGTATTAGCACATAAGTGAATGTAATGGGTTCGACTGGAATTCGAACTCGGCTCTCTGATTCCTCAATCCGAGTGGCTATCCATTACTCGACAGTGCCTCCTTTTTATTATAAATTATAATAAATTTTTTTGTTTGTGTTAATAAATAAATCAGGAGAGAAGAAGAGGATCCATACCTTTCCCAAGGGTATTAGCACGTAAGTGAATGTAATGGATTCGACTGGAATTCGAACTCCGATTCCTCAGTCCGAACCGCTATCCATTACTCCACCGTGCCTCCCCTAAGACTGTTACTGCGAGGTATAAAAAAGCGAGTGAAATAAGATTGAACAAAGATAAGTCAAATTTCCTAATAATGATTCATCTAATAAATTCACACAACTTAATACTACTACGAATAATAAAACTACTAATTGTATGTGCGGTGTCTGATCAGGACGTGGGGGCTATGGCTCTCCACAATTTCTTGTCCTTTGTAGAATGGATCCTCTCATGTATGGACAGTCTTATACCAAAGAAAAAATACCAACAGAAAGCCATAACCCATCGCAGCCATTAATACCATCTCTACCATAGAGAATGGTATAGTAGGATTTGCTTCATTCCAAAATGTCCAAAATCATTGCAAGAGAGTTCTGGAAGGAATCAAAGGGCGGCTATGGAACGCCAGAACAAGCCAATTTGAAAACAAAAGAGATTCTGTGTTTCTTTCTTTTTTTTTTTTTTTTTTTCATACAGTAATGTTCGTCTTGTACGGGGGCTACTCAAGTTAGAGCATTATGCTAAGAAGCAGTTTATACAGATAGGAGAGATCATAATAGTTAACCCTAGACTTGAACATGTTAAGATTGTAATAGAAATATATGAGAAATGTATGAAAGTCTTAACATCTTCTAGTCTGTTTGCTTTCAGAATTTGTACATTGAATTGAATGGAGCCTGATACACTCAGTGTACCATTTCTTCACCCCAGGGACTGTTTTTTCGGATCATTGACATACTGTGATATGCACACGTGACATTTATATAAAGACCTGTCTTTGGTTTTCTTTGGTCAACATATCAGAATTTGTTGATTATTAAAGTAAAATTTATAGAATAAATAAAAATTCACAATAATGATTAATTCAATAAATTCACTCAACTTAATACTACTACGACTACTAATTCTATGAGCCAGGCTGTGTAAATCCCAGATCAATGCAGTTTTAATCTGTTCAAATCTAAGGTCAACCACATATCTCCATAAACTGTGCTTCTTATTTTGTTTTAGAGTAAATAAGACACTCCTGGTAACACAAATGAACTAGGCATGATGCCTTAAATAAAGAACTCAGAGTGACTCAGAAGTGAAAGTCAGGCGGTCTGCTGTCTGGCTCGCTATTGTCCCCTTCTCCATCTTCGGGTATAGTATGAGTCAGTCGGGGCTCTGTCTATGGACAAGGACTCGGCTGAGAAAAACAGACAATGCAAAGTGCCCAATCCTGCGGTTGTAGGGGCCGGGTAAATTTGGGCCTTTAGTTAAATGTACAACACAGCCCCCCACACACACACACACTAAATTCGACCTTGTGTCACATCTCACGTCAGTGGACAGACTGGGTAAATACCAGTCCAATGGATTTAGTTGAGGAGAATTTCTAATGATGTCATGGCAATCTCATGGCAAGTAGCCTAAGCGAGACACAATAACTGCAAGGAGCAATTTATAACAATGGCGATGAGGTTGAGATATGAACTCCCGTGGGAAAGGAAAAAGTACTTTTTGCTTCAACACATATGATAACAGTTATGACATATTTTGTAACACTTTACCTTGAGTGGCTCTTGGGCCTTGTACAGGGTGAACATCATTGTAAAAAAAATCTTAAGTCTACTACTATAAAGTATAAAGAAGCGAGAGGAATAAGATGAAAGAAAAACAATAAAAATTCATAATAATGATTAATTTAATAAATTCACACAACTTA